TGTAAACCGCTTAGAAAGGCCTGAAAGGCCTATGAAGCGGTATATAAGTCTACTGCTATTGCTATTGCTATTATTACTTCTTATCCTGCCTTCTGGTGCTTTGGAGAATAGCTCGAACCCCTCTTCTCTGTGACAGCCCCTCAAATATTGGTATACTATCACGTCATCCCTAATCCTTTTTGTTGGACTAAAATCCATTCCAAATTTCTAATTTATCATGATAACATCATGAATCAACCATCCCTTAAAACTATATCCAGGTTTGCAGGAATACCATCCCAAAAATTGAGAGATGAAAGGAGATAACCACAAACAACAGAAAAGGAAAGGAAGAGAGGAGAGGAACGGAGAGGGAAGGAGGAAAGAGGAAAGGAGAGGAAGGATGGAAGGGATAGAAAGAGAAGAAGAGAGGGTAGGAAGGGGAAGAAGAAGATAGGAGTAGGGGAGAGGTAAGGGAGGAAGGGAAGGGAGAGGAGGAAGAAAGTAGAGAAGGGAGGGAGGGAGAAAAGAAAGGAAAAGTGGGATGGTGATAATGCAAAATGAGTCTATTGGATGGTAAACGAAGCAACCCAGAAATAATTTAACTTTTTATATGGGAAAACAAGTGTGTAAAAGTGATAAATATAAATAAGAATCACAATGTATACCTGTAACTGTAAGTAAGAGAATAAAAATATTAAAAAAAACTTTTAAAAAAAATGAATCAACTATCCCAGTCCTTGATAGACCAAAGTTATTTTCTTCTCATCTCAAGCTAATGAGAGACACCAACTGAAATTTCAAGGTCAAAGGACTAATAGTTAGCATGATCAAGCAGTTGGGGTGATCCGATACCAGAGGATGTGATTGTCAGTCGTCTGTTGCGGCTGAGTCACAAGTTGATGGCTTTTTGGGTTGCCCAGGTCCTTCTACCCCAAAGGGACTGACTGGTCCACCCAGATGATTAATGGAAAGTGACGGGTTGCTGAGAAAGATTGGGTTATTTCCTGAGGATCCGGTGGGGCAGTTTGACTCCAGCCTTTGTCGCTGCCTACAATGAGTTGTAACAAAGGTTTTGGGTCAAATGATTCCATGTGACTTATTGTGTGTCACTCGATTGTTGGAAGAAATATCCATCTGGTTCAGTTCCAAGCGGGGAGAGAGACTCTGGAAACATGAAGGCTGTTTGGGAAGATGGTTTATTGATGAAGGAGAACCATATGGGTTTGAGGTCCTGGGTAGCTGACCACACGGAGTGGAGAATGAGGGTTATTTATACCTTCTGAGCTTTAAACTTGAGCTTCCTGTTCCTGTGCAAGAGCATGTATTCTATTGGCTGTCGTAGAAGCCATAGCTAACTTTGTAGGTTTTGATGCAATGAAGGGGCTTGTTGGGAAATTCCTATTGTTGTCTTACCTTTGCTGTTCAGAATATCCTGTCTTGAATGGATTACCAAATCTGAATTTCTAAAAGTTGTTCCCTTAAGTTTCTTCTTAGGGCAGAGAGCTGAGGCTCCGAGTTTCTGGAGTTTAGAAACATGTGCCTCCTTTGGGGAAAATATAATATTCTGGCTTTAATATCTCTCAAAATACTTTATTCTTCTAGGAGGGGTGGGTGCTAACTTTCTACATGTTGGTTCTCCGAGCTCTGGGAGATGAAGCATCAGAAGAGCACTGTTAGGAAAAGTAAAGAGTAATTCTGACTTGATGTGAATAACAGCTCAGATTCTGGATTACACTGTGGTATAATAGAGGTGAAACAATAGAATATTTACAGCTCAGGATTGGACAGTTGTTGTGGCCTGTTAGTGGAGCTGGCAGCAGATTCGGACAGGGTGGAGGTTGGGGAGGAACATGGGCCAGTCCTGGAGGCTGGGGAAGGCTCTGATGAGGGCTCTGTGTCGCGCCCCTCCCTGGCGACAGTGGGGCTAAAGAACAGCAGGAGCCTGTTCCCAGGGTGCGCATGCGCAGAGTTGCCAGACAAAGGGAACAGCTAAAGAACAGGGGTCGACTTGGG